TACTGGAACCAGCCAAGAGATAACAGAGTGGGGAAAAAGAGCAAAACTAAATCCAAAGGAAAGAACCTGAAAGATCAGATAAGAAAAAAAGAGAAGGAAGAAGCTTCAGAAAGAAATACAGTAGAGCAAAATGAAATGGGAGAAAAGCAAGAAGAGCAAAGTCTTCGAAAAGGCAAGTGGGGGCATAACCACCAGCAGGAAGATGGACAGAAGTTCTGGGGAATAAAAAACAGGTGTGACAAGTACTGAACTACAGGGCTGAGCCAAATGCTTTTATTTCTCAAAAATGTTGAAAACAAGACTATACATGAAACTTTTAAAAATAATTCTTGCTTAGGCAGAGGGTATTAGAAGATAATTCAGCTATCTCCTTACTTTGACTAATGTAGTTTTATTCAACTCTGAATAAAAAAGGATTTTCTTGGTTTTTGATGTGATTTTTACAAGCAAGAAAATTGAAGCTTCCTTATCTAGTTTCAGCTGTTTCTAGGAGATCCAGTGTGCTTTTTTAAGATTTTTAAGTAATCTCTACATCCAATATGGGGCTTGAACTTACAACCTCAAGATGAAGAATCACATGCTCCACCAACTGAGCCAGCCAGGCGCCCCAAGATCCACTATGTTTTTAAAAAGGATTCTGAACTACTTGATTTAGGACTCAGTTCCTCCTAACAAATGGACTTTTTTGTTTGGGCCTTTTTTTATTTTAAACCTCATCTTGTCAATGAGCAATTGCTAGCTCTCTCCTCCTGACCTTGTTATTTTTCCTCTCTGCCACTCCTGTTTGCACCCTTACTGGCTCTTTCCCTATCAAATGCTTTCAGGGACAGGAAATGACAGCACCCAAACATCACACTATAGCACTGTGACCTACCTACCACTGAGCTGTGCGTTCCAATTTCCCAGCTTGGTCAATATAAACCTTACAGAAAGAGTCCTGCTTCTTATTTTTACATGTGCCCCCAAGATATCACTGAGAATAATCTCTTCACCAAAAAATAATACACAAGCATATTCTCTTTCATTAAATTTAGGTTTTCCTCCCTGCAAAGATACTATATGCGAAACATCTACTACGCCCTCCCTACTTGCACCTTACACTTAATGTACAACGTGCCCACTATTTTCTGCATAGGAAATGTCCATAACTTCTCTTTATCCCCCCTGCCCCCACACCTTCCCCTGCCCCAGGTCAATTAGCTAGGTACTTTCAGGCTCTAAAGTCAGGGCATGTCTCTTCTTATAACAAACCACCCATTAACCTTCTAACTCAGTTGTTCTTGACCGGTTTTCTGTCCTAGCAAATCTGAGGAGACCGACATACTTCTATCTGTATTCATGGCTTACTAATGACAATAAATAATAAAAGAGATGGAAGGGGAGAAAGGATGGGAGATGTATTTAAAAAAAAAAACTCCAGAGTAGCCTCTGGTACAGAGTTCAGATCATAGGCTCCCCACCTGAGAAATGCCACTCTAACAATCAAATTTCAAAAAGGCTAGGTCATAAGGATGTAAGTGCCATAGCAGAAATCAGAAGACATAGTAAATTAGTTTAGTATGTGAAGTAATACAAAGATGTATAAATATTTATTGTGAGAGAGGGAAAAATAAGAGGCTCCATCTCAAACTTCACATTCTAAGGATCTCTCAGAAGTCCCCTACCAACCTTAGAATATCTTTAAGGCAGCCATAAATCTGAGTTCACAGTAATACCACTGAGTTTTCCAGTAGTTGTCAGGATTTTTAAAATATATATTTTAATCTTTTTGGACAGTCCGCTTAACTGTCCAAAATAACGAAATACTCACCCTAACTTTGAGGTGATCTGTGCTAAGCTATTAGCTTGGGTGAAAGACTGATGATAATGCAAAGCAAAGTGGCACCTTTCAGAATGACTATGTTATAGAGGCTGCTATTCCCAGTGGGGTGGGGGAGAAAGTGAATGGAGTAGAGTTGCCAGCAGCAGGTGGGCCTGGGACCCGGAGGCAACAGCAAGAATTAAGAACTTTGTGAGGGAAAGTCACTCAAAGTTTCATTCCCCACTGAGCAGGGGGCAGCTTGTGTCTCGGCTTTTTCTCTAATAAGTGCATAAATTGTTGGGTAGCATTCTAAGGTGAGGACATTCAGACTTGGTTAAGGAGCTGTGAATGACAAAGGGAACCATAAGCTGTAAAGGTTTTTATAGACGCTGGATGACTCTAGTAAACGTTTTGGACTCCTCTAATGCAGTGGGGTTGACACAGACTCTACCCTCCCAGTAGAAGCAGTTAAAAAGGATAAGGGGACTCCCTACAATAAGTGCATACCTGGGACTCTGATCTAAGACAGGAATATGGAGAACCAAATACCTCAAAGGATAGTTATTGCTTGTATCTTAAGAAAATGCAAAGACCAAAAACATATTACAGGGTATTCCAGACTCAACACGAATTCAAACTTCACAGGATATTGTCAGGGGGGTGGGGAGTGGAGGTGGGGGACAGACTCACAGAAGCTGACTTTTGAAACAGGAAAAATAAAACTAGTTGATGTAGGAAGAGTGGGAAAAGGAATTATTTCAGGATTTTCCTGTACTGTCTAAATATTTTTTAAGAAAAATGAAAAAGCAAAAACTTATTTCAAAGAGCCCACTGCTTTTCTAACAGATTTATTTTACCAATTTGAGAGGAATTATAGTTCCACCATTAAAAATAAACAGAAAAAACTCACACTCACTACCTCTTGCTGTGGAAAACAATTTTAGGTCTATTAAATTATTTAAGATTAAGAGAACTTAACTACAGTCGACCAGAATGCAATCATTCCTAATTTAACATAGTTATGGCACTGGTAAACACTGTTCTGTTAATTAAACTTCATTATAATAAAAACATGTTTTACTTTAGTGGAACTTTAAAACAAAGTAAGTACTCCATTAAAAATATTTCCTAGCAGAAAGCAGGAAAAAACCTCTCTGACCTCAGCCGCAGCAATTTCTTACTTGACACATCTCCAAAGGCAATGGAATTAAAAGCAAAAATGAACTATGGGGACCTCATGAAGATAAAAAAGCTTCTGCACTGCAAAGGAAACAATAAAAACTAAAAGGCAACCGACAGAATGGGAAAAGATATGTGCAAATGACATATCAGACACAGGGCTAGTATCCAAAATCTATAAAGAGCTCACCAAACTCCACACCCGAAAAACAAATAATCCAGTGAAGAAATGGGCAGAAAACATGAATAGACACTTCTCTAAAGAAGACAACCAGATGGCCAACAGGCACATGAAGAGATGCTCAATGTCGCTCCTCATCAGGGAAATACAAATCAAAACCACACTAAGATATCACCTCACGCCAGTCAGAGTGGCTAAAATGAGCAAATCAGGAGACTACAGATGCTGGAGAGGATGTGGACAAATGGGAACCCTCTTGTACTGTTGGTGGGAAT